TTCAAAAAGCTCTCACCAATAATACCAAATAAATGTCTTATATGCAAAGTTGAAACATTTATTCAAGACGTGGAACATAAACACAACAATTAAGGGTCTTGCTTCAAATTTAGTAGTGCTTACTTGTTTCAGGGCAATCATAACAGTAACAGTGACACTAGAGATAGAGACTCTGTCCATTACTGCGCTGAAAAGGATTTCCCATTTTTCTCTTGTTTTAAACATGCAAAAGGACTCCCCAAATCTCTGAAAATACCTTCTCATTGTCAGGCCACAGATGGTATTGTTTTCTACATTAATGTTCTGATTCAAACGGAACAGTGGAATCAGTATTGCTTATCTTCTGATTTTCATCAGAATAAAATTATTTATTGAAGACAAGAGACAAAGACACACTTCTAGCTAAGAATTACAGAGACCTTTGGAGGGTACATATCCTGTGAATCAGGCAACATCTGCCCATCCCAGGAAGAAGAGCAAGTCCTAGGCTCCCTCTTTTCTCCCCTCAAAAGCAGCCACAATGTATCTCATGTAATTAGATGAAACATATTTGCAAAGGCTCTAGGCAAATACACACACACACACACACACACACACACACACACACACAGTGGCCAGACTGACTTTGTCCCATCGCAACTGACTGTAGAAGACTGACGATGCCACCCTTGTATAAAACGATGGTTGTGCCCTCCAGCATAAAGCATGCCCACCTCCGTATAACACAGTGGTTCACAATAACAGTCACCAGCCTCCCTGGATCCTTAGAGGTCAGTCGAGCACACCCATTAAGTCTTAGTCTACATGCCAACTTTTCAATAAGGTCCACAGTGCCCAGTCTAATTAAAATCGAAAAACCCTTTTCCTCCTAACTCCCAATGACCTTAACTTGATGATTTTCTTTATTCAGAAAATTTAGCCACTTGGAATGTATCACATGGTTTACTGAATCATTGTGTGTGTGTGTGTGTGCACATGTTAATCATTTTACTTCCCCTCCCTACACACACACACACACACACAAAGGTAAGATTGATGAGGGTAGGATCTTTCTCTGTTTACTAATATATCCCAAGAACCTAGAAGAATTCCCAGCACATAGTAGGAAATAAATCAACATGTATTAGTTGAATGAATGAATAAAGGACTCGGCTTAGACTGACTTGGCCCTGAGTCCCAGTTCCACCTACACTTGGCTACAGGGCCCTGGGAAATGGCCATCCCCTCTGCAGCTGTGTGTCCCCCTCCGGAAAAGGGGGACCTGAGGAGCCCCTGCCCCCTGGGATCTTCATGCGGACCGGGTGAGTCAGTGCATGTCAAAAGCTTAGAATCAAGCTTGGACATAGTGAGCTTTTAATAAAGGCTACCTGCCATCATTATTATTATTTCAAGATATGTTTCCCAAGGTGGTGACAGATTAGTGATGATTTACATGCCCAAGCCACTGGCTCTCCTCACATCTGACCTCACAGATGAGACTGTGAAAAGGGACCCAAGGCTCTTGATGGAGCAGCAAAGCTACCAAGGGTCGGACACCATCACTGTGGCCTCATCAGCTGCAATTCAGTAACGGGGAGGATTCTGCAAGGAGCTGTTAACAGTGCAAGTGTCACTGTCTCAGACCTGCTGGAGTACAGTAAACACAATGATGAAACCAATGAGTAAGTGAGGGTGAGGCTCAGAAACCTTAAAAGGCAGGGAAGGCAGCTCTTCTCTTCCTACTTGAGCAGAGAGATTTGTTTATTTGGCTTAACAGGAGCTGAAACTCACACTTTATGAAAGAAGATAAAGGAAAAAGAAACAGCCCTGTTAAGAAATTTACCAGAACATACTCTAGAAAGCTCATGACCAGGAACCTGACCATAACTTTTTCCTGGAGCAAAATTCTAGTTTGTGTAAAAGTTGAAAATTGAATCATTAACGTAAATGTTCACTAAGCATTTAGGAAAACAAAACACTTTGGAAACACTCACTATTGATTTACAAGGAAAAAAGGCAGGGAGGTGGGGGTCAGAACTGACTAAGTGAGGAGAAGAGGTGAAAATGAGTGAGGAAGACAGAGGTGAGGGATAAACAGAAGGACAAAAGCAAGAGGGGCATTTACTGACTTCTTGGCGATCAGAATCTTAACTCCCCTATTTATTATAACATGTCTCCCCACAAGGCTAATCTCCTCCCATAAATTGTCCCTTAAGAGCAAAATAAAGTGGATGACTACATGCTCAAGGATTAGATCATGACAAATCAGGCCAAAAAGGAATTTCTCTCCTCACTCTAGAGAAGACCCCAAGATTTCGGGGAATTGAGCAAGGTCACAGTAGCTAAGTTGAAGCTGGAATCAAATTTCCAGGCTCCCAAGTCAATGCTCTGCACTCCACACAGGAACTTCCCCAAACCCCAATGTGCGCATGATAAATGATCCAGTAGTTTCAAGAGGAACCCAAGATTCTGCACTTCTGATGGGTCCCGGGGGGGGGGGGGTGATAAGGCCACTGGATTATACTGAGCAGCAGGCTTCTGCCCCGTTTCACCTGCTAAGGTACGTCTAGTAATAATTTGTTGTTGTTGTTTTAATTTAAAAAGAGGTGTTTTCCAGGAGCAGTAGAAAGTAGCTTACATATGAAATGCTGAAGTTTTAAACCTTCTGATAACTCAACACAACTGGTAAAATTGAAGGGAGTTCATATTTACATGGAGGTGTCAACTGTAAAACATAATAAAATTGCAGGTTTTTCAAGTTGTGCCACCTCACTGCACTCTATGGATATGCATTTATTGATAATTTCCCCTTTATGTTTGAAATATACCATGCCTAAATTGCACCAAATTACTAGACCTGCCTTAACTCTGTCTCCTGTGATAATAGAGACACTATGTCTATGGGGTGCTTCCGCTTGTGTTGAGACTGGACATTTTATTTTAGATAAGAAAACTCGGCACGGACACAGCCAATCCCAACAGGCACGAGAGCACAGATTTTACCTGCCACCAACCCAGTGTCACAAAATCAACCACACCCACTCACGTGTGTCACAGCCTTGTTCGGGAGACACACGGCATAACTAGGGGAGAAGAGATCCATCTAAGTTCATCACTCCTGCTCCTCTATTTTCTCCTGTGTACTGGAGGAGTCCCCATGCATTTGAAGAGAGTTGATGCAAACTAAGCACAATATGTCCTCTCCAGCCAAAACTCTGTTAATCTCCCCAACCTTCCTATTGGTCCCCTTGAATCAGCTGAGCCCAAGAGATGTTTCCTATAAAACGTCCACAGTGTATCTCAATCTGATCCCAGTAAAATTTCACTTCAGCTGAAGTGAAAATGCAGAGGTAGCATTTACGGATAACAGCTGGAGAACATTAGTTCTCTGTCTCTCCTTTTCTCTCCCAAGGGTTGAAAACTCCACTGTTCAGACAGGAAGTCGTCATACACCACACACTGTATGATACGAGAACGCTGGGATACAAGAACAAGTTGCAGAGGATTAGGGGGAGTGTGCAGGGGTTTTGTTCAGGAACACAGAGCAGCAACTCTGCGAACCTCTTAGGGTGTCCTTTCCCCCCACAGTATTCAAACAGCATGATGTAGGCACATCCAGAATTGTCATGCACACACTTCATTCCCTGAAAGCTTTTTAATAACTCAGAGTAAGAAGGCTTACTCTTCCATTTTTAAAACACGAACTCCAATAAGTTTGGGGGAGTGGCTAAGATTCTCCAATAATCTTTTTTGGCATATTTGCTATCTAAAAAGACAAACATTTATCTTTTTACAAATGAAAACTGTCACACACACCAAAAAAAAAAACAACAAAACTCTCACATAACTGCCCAGAATAAGGAAATATATATGTATCTCACATACATGTGGAATTCAAAACATGATGATCTGGGAGAGAATGATTTAAACAAAAGGTTCTTGTGGATATGGTTTTTAGGGTCGGTTTCTGCTATAATTTCACCAAGCTGCTGAGGACGAACACAGCCGCAAAAAAGGAGCGAGGCATCCACATTCTGTGGCCACAGCTCCAAGTTCTGGGTAGGATGATAGGAGTTTCCCAAACACCACAGGCTGAATAGCCATTCTGCATTCCTACCCGTCTGCAGGCGCTGGACCCGGTTGGTAACCGCCTGTCCTCTGGGGGCAGGCTGTAAAACCAACCCTGTCTCTTCCACGCCCCTCCAGCCAAGTTCAGGACAGACAACCTTCCTAACTTTTGAACCACGAAAATGCCTTTGCCATATGCATATCAGGGGCGTGCTGTTAATCAACGTGGTGACAACACCACGGTTTTATGCAAAGAGGGGGAGGAGGGGCGAGGGGGAAGCCAACCCACACATCCATCATCCTTTTAGGAGGAGGTGGAGTTTAAAGTTTCTCCAACTTCCAAGTTCCCACTTGACAGGCAATATTTCTGTGCAATTTCCAGCCCCGTGGAACAGATGGTCCTTTGCCCGTCTTGAGCCCCGAGAGAGCCCAGACAAAGCCCCCAGCCACTGCTCCCCTCAGGGGGGCCGATAGGTGGTCAGTTTCACGAAGCTGTCAGCCCAGGGGCAGTGAGTAGGGAGAATGGAAACTTAACTACTTCTTCCAGAAGTTTTTCCTGGTACAGGAGAGCAGAGGGGGCTGGGACACAAAAGCCTGAGAAAGTTCTCACTGCGTTATTTTTGAAAATCGTCTTCCACCATCTGCCAAACCATCATCCTAAAGCCCAGATGCCCGGGATGGGAAAGTTGAGGCACACGCGTTCAGAAACACGGCAGCAATGCAACTTGAGCCGTCCCGAAGACAACCTGGGAAGTTGCTGAAAGGGACCCCACGGTGGGAAAGCATCCTCGAGAGCCTGAGCACCCGGTGCCAAAGGGGAAGGTGACGGCCCGGACAGATTGCCAAATGGGTGTGCGCCATCGCAGCGGGCAAGAACCTTCCTTCCCAGACTAGAGGGCGAGGGGAAGGGAGGGGGCGCGATGCGGGAGTGTGAGGACTGTCGGCCCACTCACCCTCACTGCCGTACTGTTTGCCATTGTTCGCGCCCATCCTGCCGCCGTCATGCCCGTCGTCTCCTGGGACACTCCATAGCTGGGGCGCACCGATGCGCGCTCCGCCCGAGGAAAGCCCGCCCGACGGGACCGTTAGCTTTGCATACCCCACGCTCGAGGGCCGATGTCCAGCCGGGAGCGTCCCCTGCACTCCGTTGGGAGGGGGCGCTCGGTTCCCTCCAGGAACCCCCGATGGCTCCGGGTGGGGTTGGGGGCAGCCACAGCTTTCAGAATCCGCGTTCACGGCCGGCGGGCGCAGCGCCGTGGAGAGCCCGCGCCCCGGGGCCGCCCCGAGGCTCGCCGCGCCGCCGCCGCCGGGTCCCCATCCGCCCGCCCCGATCCCCCTGCGGTGGGCGCTGAGCCGCACGGGTGGCCGGGACTCCCTGGCTCGGCCACCTCTCCTCGGCGCCCTTGCGCGCCCGCGGCTTCCCCGGGGATGGGCGCGGCGGCCACTTGTTGCGGACGTCCCGACCGAGCAGACACTAGCGGCCCGGCTCAGCTCGCCCGCGGGCCGGACTTTTGTTAGCGCCAGGCGCCTCCTCTCGCCTCCCAGCGTCAATCACAGCTGGAGCCCGGGGGAGGAAGGCCGGCCCGGAGATGCGCGGCCTTTTAAAGGGGCAGCGCTCCTTTTCGGGGCTCTGGCTCCCGGCCCCAGCCTCGGCTCAGGCCCTCGCGCCACCCGCGAACTACTCTGAGCGAAGGAACGTGCTCTTGGCTGCATTTTACTATTGTTCTTTTACGGCCTTGGCCCCCAATTTGTAAGATGAGCTTCCAGGCATCGTTCGGAATCCCTTGGCTTTGCCTGCAAATATGGCCTAGTTTAGGTGTGGGGGCGTTTAAAATAAACATGCCTCAGAGTCTCATTGTGTCTGGAAATTTCAGGTATATATGCTGGCATTCTCCGGTGGTCCCACTTTTGGGAACTGAGGCGGAGAATGCAGGAGCGATGGAGGGAAAACTTGAGGGGAAATTAGCAGGGAGTCTCTGGAGGCTTTCCCCGCCCTGGTGCGGGAGGTTTCCTGGCTCAGAACTTTTAAGAGCTTCCCAGCCAGGAAGTATATTTTCTCCCTGGTCGTAGGACTTTTTTCCTTGTGGTTGGTGTACCCTTTGTTTAATGCATTACTACCTCTTTTGGAGATTTATATGGTACTTCTAGAGTCTTAAAATGGCCCTATGGTGTTCCCTCCGTTAAATGGAAAAAGAAAATTCTTCTTAATGTTTTATTTCCTTTCCATGTAAATACCTAGAATTTTATAACATTGCATCTTAGTAAAGACCCAGACATTCCCAGTGCAAATTTCTTTGTACGGAGGCAAGCACACAGCAGTTTCTCCATAGATGCTTTGAATTAAACATATATAATGATTCTTGTGTGTGTATAATATATAAGCATGTATGATAATTGCATGGAGAACCAGGGTTCTTGCAATTACCTCTTTCTTAAAAAACCTGCAGTCATATGCAGAGATTGTTAGTGATTCGACTTCCTACAGATTCTATTTGGGTAACTTCCTTTTTTTGGTACAAGTTTCTTTCTTAAAGGTAAGATACAATATCATGTATCAAATATTTCAAATCTAGCTTTCTTGTGCAGGAGAGGTCATGTATTGAAAGAAAAAAATCATAAACTTACCTATTGTCTAGAACAGGATTAAATAGTTTTGTGTTGCGCTGTTAACATTTCAACTGTCCCAGTGCAAAGGGATTAAGGACTGAATTGTAATTTGCCTTTTCATATCTGGAATCTAGTTCACTGCCTGGCCAACAATATGTGCTCCCCATATCTGCTGAGTTAAATTGAAATCTTGTGGTATGGGCCCTAAATAGGAGATATGGGTATCATAAATTTGGAAGAGTTAAATGAGTTTTCAGAGATTCCACCTGAAAGCATAAACCCAACCTAGAAATCAGCCAACATCTACATTATCTTCACCCAAAGTGGGTTTCTGCTTATCTGACCCTTGTGACTTTCCATCACCTTTTAAGGAGGCATACTTAGTTGAAGAGCAGCCCTCTACAAAGTAGTGGGCAAGGGAGCTCATCTCGACCTTTGGTGTCACCTTGACAACATGCTTGTTTGTATGTTATCTCCTTGATGCTTTCAGTTGGAGGTCTACAAGTCAGGAAACTGTCAGAAGAAGAAACAGGCTCAAACCGTTTAGTATATGGAGTCACTCAGTTAGTTAGTTCCTGACGGACTCAGGTTCTCTGACCTTCTCCTCCCAACTCCGCCACCTCTCTTGACCTGGCCATTATTCATCTTGGAGTCACTGTTTCCTTTTTGGGGGGGTTGAGTCACCTTCCAGGATCTCTAATGTCAAAGCAAAGCTAATGGTGACAAGTAAATTGTGGTGAGGGACTGCATTTATCTCCTCTGAAATTAAAGCCTGTGGTGTGCAAATAGGGGGAGGGGTGGGGACATCCGTAATAGTGTCAGCAATAAAAGTAAAGTTAAAATGTTTTTAAAAATAAAGTCTGTAAATACATTCAAGGCTCAATCACCTACCATAAAAGGAGATAATGACACACCAGTTTAAGAAATTGCAGTTTAAAACAAAATACAAAAAGAAACTTAACTTAGATCTTCCTTCCGATTATAAAATATAAATACGTGTTGTCATAGTCACTGTAAATGCTTGTGTAAGAAGCATGGGTCAGCAAAAAGAAAGGCACTATTTCTTTTTAAAATAAAGGTGTATTGGTGTTTTAATTTTAATATTAAGATATTGTACAAATAGATGATTTTAACTAAATTATCATCTTTTTACCCAGCTTCCAAACCAAATCCCTCAGTTTCAATACAGATTTGCAAGATTCTTGAGGAAAGAAATGATGCATTTTTCACCAATGAGTTCCCAATATCTAGCATAACTCCTAACACAGTTGTCACTCAATAAATCCTTGCAGAATGAATGAATGAATGTTGAACAAAGGGATACAATGATTTGAATGTTATTCTACTTTCTCTTTCTGCCCTTTGTAAAAGGCTGCAGTCCCTGAAGAGATAAAAAAAATCAGTAAGCATTCAAAGTCATCCAGAAACTGAATAATAATGTATTAAGCAATTGCTGTTTTTCTCTACACAATACCTTTTCCTCCTGGTTCTGGGAGCACCAGTTCCTGTATTTTGGGAAATTGTTTCACCCAAATTCTAATTGTGGGCTTCCTGTGAGAGCTTATTAATTGTGGTCATTGTGATCAGCATCCTGGGCAAGTGAGGGCCCATGGTCAGCCCGACCCTGTTACAAACCACCTGCCCTGGTAATGGGAGAGTGAGCACCTCCCTGCTAGGCTGGCACCAGAGGAGGCCTGGTGAACAGTCAGGAGTGTAACTATTGGATTGGCCAAAACACCTGTTTCATTTATTCCGTAAAATCAAAGACACATTTTTCATTTTCACCAACAACTTTCTTGATTTGGATATTCTGAATACGTTGGCTATCTCCCATGTAGTATAATATTAATTGTTCTCAATTAATGTCTCAATTTGATCACTGTCAACTGCTATTGGTTTACCCAACCTTGGAGCACTGCCCATACGTAGCACAAATCTTTTTATTTTGCATTCTAGTTGTGGTTTTACCGTTCTTTTTTTTTAACTTTACTCTTTGTATTTCCTTTTTTTTAATTTTATTTTAATCATTGTTCAAGTACAGTTTTCTCCCTTTTACACCCAATCCAGCCCACCCTCCTAATTTTACCATTCTTGAAATAATAAAGCATAATATGCCAAAAATGTTGCTTATTTTTTCCATCTTCAACATTAAAATGGCTACACAAAAATGTACCAATTTTAATGTTTTTAAACGCATGCTGATATAACAACTGTCACAATACCACCTAACAAAATTATTCTGAATGAAGTTAAAGACAACTAGGTACTACTAGAGCCATCTTATGGAAAAAAAAACAAATGAATTGCTTGGTCACCCTAATATCATTCAAGACCGCAGAAACACCCTTACCACAGTGACAGTGGAGGCAAAGTGGGGAACCAGCAGTAAGGTGGAGGTTATCACCTCCAGGGTCAACAGACATAAAGCGGAGAAACTGGATTGCTACTGTTACCTAGGAGTTGTGAGTTGGCATATTTAAAATACGTGCTTTAAATACAACCCATCATCTCACAAAATAATATGAAAATGCTTAGGTTTCAATAAAAAAAAAGCACTCACCATACCAAGAACCAGGAAGATTTCAAGCTACATGAGAAAAGACAATCAACGGGTGCCAACACCAAGATGGCCAAGATGGCAGGGGCTTTAGAATTAGCAAAGATTTTGAAGCAGCCATGGGGCAAAAAATGTTTCAACAAGCAATTTCAAAAGTGTTTTTAATAATAATTTTTAAAGATTTTATTTATGTTATTTTTAGAGAGGAAAGGGAGGGAGAAAGAGAGAGAGTGAGAGAGAAACATCAATGTGTGGTTGCTGGGGGCCGTGGCCTGCAACCCAGGCATGTGCCCTGACTGAGAATTGAACCTGCGATGCTTTGCTTCACAGCCCACGCTCAATCCACTGAGCTACACCAGCCAGGGCATTTTTAATAATAATTTTAAAAAACAGAAAGCCTCGGCAAAGAAAAAAAAGGAGAAAAAGAACCAAATGGAAGCTTCAACGCTGAAAATTATAGTAACTATAACAGCAAAGCTCAGTGGATGGGCTGAACAGTGGATGAAAGAGACAGAGGAGAGAATCAGTGGATTGGAAGATAGAACAATAGATGCTATCAATATGTATAACAAGGAGAAAACAGACAGAAAAAAATGACAGCGCCTCGGAGACGTGGGACTATAATAAAAAATCGCATGTTTGTGTCATCACAGACCCTGAGAGAGAGGAGAAAGAAGGAAGGGGTAAAACAAACCACTTGAATACATAATGGCTAGAACCTTCCCAAATTCTGGAAATGACAAGAGATAGAGACAGAGGACAGAATTGTGGCTGCACGTGTGAAGGAGGGTCCCAGATGGAAGTGAGTGTGGCTCTCGAAGGGCGACGTGAGGGATTTTCATGGTGAAGGAGGAACTGTCTGGAGCTTGGCAGGATCAGTGTCGGCGTTCTGGCTGTGACAGCTACT